TACTTAATATGACCGCAAAACACTTAAAAATATGTACATACTCAAAAAAAAGTCCTTCCAAAACAATTTCCTAGACTGCTTGGTTTTGCTTTTCCAAGGCAAGGAAACTTCTTTTCTTATCACCCCATTAAAGATGCTCAAATATTGAGTCTGGCAGTCTAATTGACAGTGTAGCCTTACAATGGGAGTTGCTAATTTGCTAGAACACAAGCTCTAATATCAAGATGCTAGAACACAGCACCGTGAATACTCAGACACTCTACTTAATAACAGAGATTACTCTGGAATTAGGCACTGTAAATAACATTTCAGAACTGATCTGACTGGAAGAGACAGCTTTCTATACCTTCTGACTAGACATAAAAGCAATGAGAGTTGCATGTTTTCTGAACGAATGACAGCCACAGATACAATGTTCTCATGCAAAGCAGAGTTGATGGCAGTGCCATTCTCTGATGTATTTTCCTGGTAAGGAATTGAGTAGGGGCAGAAATACTTGGTAGAAGTTTCAATGATGGAGTTTTATTCTGGAGTCTAATGCACCCTCATAGAAGGAGATTAGTGGAAACAAGAGATTCATATTGCAAGTACAGTCTTCCTAACCTATTATACAAACATTAGCTTCTACACATCTCATTGACTTGCATTGTGTAAAGTATACAGAACCCAGAAGCCTATAATGAATATGGATTATTTGCATACCCACATGTACTTGTACAGTTACTGATCTAGTCCCCCAAATATGTCAAGAAACAGAATCTGCAATAAAATAAGAGGTCAGGAAAAGGCAAAATGCGAACAAAAGCCAAACTCAGATATCAGTCAGTAAGACCTGAATTCATCAAGTAGGACACCTCAGTCTTTTTCAGTTTATCCCTTTTCTCTATTAACATAAACTGTTTGCTAGTCAGGCAGACACCAAAGCTTCAGCCTTCTTGATAAAGATTTTTTTTAACAAGTAACCTTCTCACATCACTTTTCCAAGACACTACTTTCTTTTACCTCCTCGTGAAACATGCAAGTTCTTGCCACAAAATGTTAACTGTGTGATGCTGATACTTCTGGTCTCCAGACAGCTGGTTCTACATGCTGGGAACTCCCCCATTTTCTCATCAAGAACAAAGACTAGTTTTTGAACATTAACCCAGTTACTGAAAGTCAAATGTCTGCTCTAATTTGGGAATTCTTACTTAACACATACATCTCTCCTTCCACTCCCCAGTGATGCTTCAAACAAAATAACCTCAGAGAAGCAGAGCTTCCACACAAAGGATAAAGACAACTAGATCTGGGGCTAGTTTAACATAGCTGTAACATACTGACTTCCCTCTCAGTTTCTCTGATTTCTGCTTTTCACAGCCCCAAGTTTAAATGTTATTTGTTAAAATAAAGATGCAGCAGGCAACTACAACTGTCCTAGACTTAGAGTCAAATTTAGAGGGAGCGGATAGTTGTAACTAGTGACCTGATTTCACTTACTCTAGCAGGATATTTTCTACTTCACACTTTTAGAAAACACTACCTAAATGAAAAATATATTAATCAGAAAAAATCTGTTAAACAACAAGTCCTAGATAACTTTGTGATTTATATGAATTTCTAGCTATGGCCATTGCAACACCCTTTCTGAGGCAAAGAGCTGCAGGAGAACCATACTGTGAAAGATAAGAAAACTGTCTCAACCACAGCTTACCAGCCAGTGTTCCTTTATATGAAAAGGAAATGAAAGGGATTTGTAGTCATCTCTTCGTCTGAGTATAATGGTAACAAATTCTGGTCTGGATTCCTTCATAGAGCTCTACCTTTCCAATTCCCATTTCAGGGGCCAGCACTCCACTGATGTCACTTTACCTCTAAAATCCAGCTTACCCTAGCATCATAGACAGTAAGACTCACAAGTATAAAAGATGGATCTAGTTTATTGTATCTGTAATTCGGAATCATAATAAGTATCAGGAAAGAATTACTTCTTCCCCTAGTCTTCCCACTGGCTAAAAGCACACTATGTAGATAATTTTGTTCTGTAGAGCTATATATAGAAGGTATTATTAAAGTCTGGATGTACAGTCTGTATAAAATATTCAAATCAAAGTACAGAATTATACCCATTTTAGTTAGAAGCTAACAGGCTTCTCTGTGTGCATTACAGTCAGTAATTGTTGGGGACAAAATACCAGTGTACAAATGGAGATAAAGGGCAGACAGGTCTGGAGTGTCAAGGCACATTCAAAACTATCTTGTTCCCATTTTTAAAGACCCAGCAGAAAGGAATGGAATGCAGTGTTCATCTGTTGGTATTTTCCTTTGAAAATTCATCTCTGATCTACTAAAAGTTTACTAAACAAAACCACAGAGAGAAGATTCTGTGACTTTGTGAAATCTTTAGGGATTATTTTGCATTTAAAAATTTTTAAGAAATGTTTTTTTAAATGAAGGGTAAATGATTACTAACCCTTGGAATTAGACTGCAAATCCAGATCTGTCTACACAGTAAGTTCTAGCTTGCTCTCATCTCAGCCTCTCTTCTATTAACAGAAGGAACAAAAGTAGAGAAATATAGTACTGCCTAGGCCAAAAATGTGTTTTTCAATTTGACCACCAATGGTTTTTTCCTTAGAACATCTCTAGGAATGATCTAGACAGGACTATTTCAGAAAACCTTTGTCTTAACTCACTTGCTCTGGATTACAAAATAGCTTTCAGATGTTAGGGGTTGCAAATGCCTTTATTTAAGGCTGCAGTGAAATGTTCACCAGAGATTTAAGGTAAAGCTATTTGTCAATTGATTTACAAAATCCAAGCCAGGGTACCACTGACAGATCTAATTTTAATAGTATTACTTTAGTGTCTCAAGCCCAAGCACAGCCTTCCTCTTGAAAAGCCAAGCATCTTTCACCTCTCTCGGAAAAGCAGAAGAGCACTTGCTGCTTCAGGGATGTGAATTTTCAGCCCTCACAAATTTCCTACAAGGCAGACATCTGACTTCCAATATCCCCAGCTTAAAGGAAGTGGGCAGGCTGAGAGTATCACATGTTGGTTTCAATATACTACAGAGAATTCTTACTACACTCTGTTGTGAGCAGATCTGTACACTGGGTGAATATATAGCATGACAGTGACAGCTGTGTTCTAAAAAATAAGTCTGCACTGGGTTCAGAGTAACCACTACTTAGCAGGAGCTCTGAGAGGCAGCGTACAAAGTGCAGCTGCTGCACCACCTTGAGAACAGCATGTGTTCCCATCCAAGCCCCCGCAGCTACACTCCAAAGGGGGAGATAGGGATCAGGCAGCATTTGAGTGGCTGAGTGTTAAAATACTAACAAGAATGCTTGTATAAACAGATGGATGGACACAGTTTTCCTACTCCAAGGAACTCCTAACTTACAAGGCAGACAAAAATACATAGGGAGGCCTACACAACTGAGAAGGTGTTAATACAGTAGCTCACAGCACTAGCCAGAGCCTCTTCTTTTTCCAGGACGTGAGCTATGCCTGACACCTTCCTGACCTCAACTCCAAAATCAACAAGCTATATTTTCTGCTTCTCATTTAAGAATAACATTTCAGAGAATCAAGTATTCACTAGCACTAGAAATATGCAGAAGCACTGGGAATGAATACCCTCTCCACCTCAGGATCTCTGAAATAGAAGAAAATATTAAAAGAACTTAGCCCTTTCCATCGTCAGAAAAGCTAGAAATCAGAGATAGGTCATAAGCGATCAT